ACGCGGTCGAGAGCTTTGCCCAGCAGTTCTCGGCCGCACAGAAGCAGACGGAGGCCATCCGACACATCCTGCCCCGGCGGACCGCTGCTGCTCCCACCCGCTCGCCGGCCGCAGCTCCTCCGTCTACTCGTCGCCGAGGTCGGCCTCCTGCGGCGTCCTCCGCTCCCGCTAAGCCCCAGCAGCAGCCATCATCCAGGCCTCAGCGTGGAGCAAGCCGCAGGAAGTCGACCCCGCCCGTCCAGGCCGCTGCCAAGCCAGGAGGCAAGCGCCGGTGCAAACATCCCTGAGACGGGCGGCCCAGAGGTGGATCAAGTTGCTCTTCAGGAGATGGCGGACGTGCCACTCCTTCCCCCGGTGGAGGGCCGGGTGGAGAATCCTTTGTTTCCTTTTCTTTTTGTTCCTGTTGTTTGTTCGTTTTGTCCCACCTTTTCAAAGAAAGAGCAATTTCTGAAACCTCTGGGCCCCAAGAGGGCGCGCTTGGCAGTCGACGACGCTATGCCTTGTCACTCCCGAGCCCCTCTTCCATCGCCAGCGGGCAGCAGTGGCTGTGTCCTGGACGCACTGTCGCCTCCGCACACTCACTCTGCCCTCCGGCGGAAGCAGGTACGTCTTGCACCACACGTTCAGACCCCACTCCGGGCCGCTATGCCGCCCGAGTCGGGTCCCTGCATTCCGTCACGCTGCCCCACTCCGGGTACGTCTGTGGTGCCGTTGGTCCCGCTTGCTCGGTCTCTGGGAGCTTGGCTAACGCTTCCCAGTCCGTCTCGCTGGCTCATCCGTACTGTCAGACTCGGCTATGCGATTCAGTTCGCCCGGCGCCCCCCTGTTTTTAGGGGCATCCTGTTCACCCGTGTTCTGGCGGACAGTGCCCCTGTTCTCAGAGCGGAGATTGCAGTCCTACTGGCGAAGGACGCAATCGAGCCGGTCCCTCCAGCCGATATGAAGACCGGCTTCTACAGCCCGTACTTCATTGTACCCAAGAAAGGAGGTGGGTTACGGCCAATCTTGGACCTGCGCGTCCTGAATCGGTCCCTTCACAGGCTGCCATTCAAGATGCTTACGCAGAAACGCATTTTCAAATGCATCCGTCCCCAAGATTGGTTTGCAGCGATCGACCTGAAGGACGCGTACTTTCATGTCTCGATTCTCCCTCGACACAGACCGTTTCTTCGCTTTGCGTTCGAGGGACGGGCATATCAGTACAAAGTCTTACCCTTCGGGCTGGCCCTGTCGCCCCGCGTCTTCACGAAAGTTGCGGAGGCGGCCATTGCTCCCATGTGCGAGCGTGGTGTTCGCATTCTCAACTATCTCGACGACTGGCTTATTCTCGCCCAGTCGAGAGAGCAGTTGTGCGAACACAGGGATATGGTGCTCAGTCACCTCAGCCACCTAGGGCTTCGGGTCAACTGGGAGAAGAGCAAACTCACCCCCGGGCAGAGGATCTCTTTTCTCGGTATGGAGTTGGACTCGATCAACATGACAGCGCGTCTCACCGAGGCCCGCGTCCAGTCAGTGTTGAACTGCGTGAGTACGCTCAGACGCAGAACAGCGGCACCACTGAAACTATTTCAGAGGCTCCTGGGGCATATGGCATCTGCAGCCGCGGTAACGCCGCTCGGATTGCTTCATATGAGACCGCTCCAACACTGGCTTCACGATCGAGTCCCGAGATGGGCATGGCAGAGCGGCTCGTGCCGGGTTCCAGTGACCCCGCACTGTCGCAAAACTCTCAGCTTGTGGTCGGACCCTTCGTTCCTGCGGGCAGGTGTTCCCCTAGAACAAGTGTCCAGGCACTCTGTGGTCTCCACGGATGCCTCTATCACCGGCTGGGGGGCCACGTACAACGGGTATGCAGCTTCAGGTCTGTGGACGGGGCCTCAACTGCATTGGCACATCAACTGCCTCGAGTTGTTAGCAGTACATCTTGCGCTGGGCCGCTTCAAAACGTCGCTACAAGGCAAGCATGTACTGGTCCGTACGGACAACACTGCGACCGTTGCGTACATCAACCGTCAGGGTGGTCTACGCTCCCGCCGCATGTCACAACTCGCCCGCCATCTCCTCCTTTGGAGTCAGAAGCATCTGAGGTCGCTTCGTGCCGTTTACATTCCGGGCCTGCTCAACCGTGCAGCCGACGAGCTCTCACGGCAGCAGGTGCTACCGGGAGAATGACGACTCCATCCCCAGGTGGTCCAGCTGATTTTCAGGCGCTTCAGGACCGCACAGATAGATCTGTTTGCCGCCCCGGACACGTCTCACTGCCAGTTGTTCTATTCCCTGACCGAGGGGACCCTCGGCACGGATGCTCTGGCTCACAGCTGGCCCCAGGCTCTTCGCAAGTATGCGTTTCCCCCAGTGAGCCTTCTGGCACAGACCTTGTGCAAAGTCAGGGAGGACGAGGAGCAGGTCTTGTTAGTTGCGCCGTATTGGCCCAACCGGACCTGGTTCCCGGAACTAGTGCTCCTCGCGACAGCCCCTCCCTGGCCCATCCGTCTGAGAGAGGACCTGCTCTCTCAGAGACGGGGCACCCTGTGGCACCCGCGTCCAGACCTCTGGAAGCTCCATGTTCTCCATGGGGGTAGGTTCTAGGTGACCTACCCCCAGCGGTAGTTGACACCATCACTTCCGCTAGAGCCCCCTCTACGAGGCGCCTCTATGCATTGAAGTGGAACCTATTCGTTGAATGGTGTTCTTCTCACGAGGAGAACCCCCGATCATGCTCGATCAGAGCCGTGCTTTCCTTCCTGCAAGATGGGTTGGAGTGAAGGCTGTCTCCCTCCACCCTTAAAGTGTATGTTGCCGCTATTGCCGCACATCACGATGCTGTTGATGGTAAGTCCTTGGGGAAGCACGACCTGATCGTTAGGTTCCTGAGGGGAGCGAGGAGACTGAATCCTCCTCGCCCACTCTCTATACCCTCTTGGGACTTGTCTCTGGTCCTTTCGGTACTTCAGAGACCACCCTTTGAGCCTCTGCAATCAGCGGAGTTAAAAATCTTGTCCTGTAAGACAGTTCTCCTGGTTGCATTGGCCTCTATCAAGAGGGTAGGGGACCTACATGCATTTTCGGTCGACGAATCGTGCCTGGAATTCGGCCCGGATAACTCTCACGTGATCCTGAGACCCCGGCCCGGATACGTGCCCAAGGTTCCTACCACTCCCTTCCGGGACCAGGTGGTGAACCTGCAAGCGCTGCCTTTGGAGGAGGCAGACCCAGCCCTGGCTTTTCTCTGTCCCGTCCGCGCTCTGCGTTTGTACGTGGACAGAACGCAAAGCCTCAGGACCTCAGACCAGCTCTTCGTCTGTTACGGAGGCCAGCAGAAGGGAAAGGCTGTCTCCAAGCAGAGGATGGCCCACTGGATAGTGGATGCCATCGCCTTGGCTTACGAAGCCCAAGGCGTGCCTTGCCCGCCCGGGTTGAGAGCCCACTCCACTAGGAGTGTCGCTTCTTCTTGGGCGCTGGCACACGGCGCCTCGCTGACAGATATCTGTAGAGCTGCGGGTTGGGCGACACCTAACACGTTCGCTAGGTTCTATAGCCTATGTGTTGAGCCGGTTTCTTCCTGTGTGCTCGCTTCAACCAGCCGGTAACACCGAAGTTCCTGCTCTAGTGTTGACTTGCTGCGCCACTCCCCTCTACGGAGCGGATACGTGTGCTCTTTTGCTCCAGTCGAGTTCCCCACCCAGGCGAACCCTGTGAGTTCCTCCACACCCCTTCGGCAGTTGGACGTTGCGGAGCGTCCGACGCCAGGCCTAGTGCTCGTATGCTTGTGTAACTTGTGCTAGGCTGGGTTCCGTATGTGTAATCCCTGCGGCGATCCCATATGAGTATTTTTCCACGATCAGCTCCCTGCGGTGAGCCCGTGTCTTTCCCTTGGCAGAGCTCGCTCTGCTGTCACTGTCTGGTGTAGCCTCCCCCTCCTTAGGTGGAGCCACCCCAGTGACATTCCATATGTTGCACTGCCCCAACCGGCCAGTCCATATGTGTATTCTCCACATGGTACCTCCCTTCGGGCAGGATGTGGCTCCGCAGCGTCCCTCTCCCCTGGAGAGGCACGCTTCCCAGTGTTATTCAAGAGTTCACTGCGTGGGTATGTGGGACAGCAGGTTCTCCCTCTACGCAGGTCTTCCGCCCCAGCATTTGGGGGTCTGAGAGTCTTGCGTAGGGCACTGGATGTGGCAGCAACCGATGGCGTTTTCCATGGGATCCCCTAACGTCGTCACGTCGAACGTGAGCGACTGAAGGGGAACGTCTCGGTTACTGATGTAACCCTCGTTCCCCGAAGGAGGGAACGGGAGACGTGACGTCCCGCCGCCACAGTTGCTGACCATCGCTGGACGGCCGTCATTAAACTCGGCTCCTCAGTGAAAACGGTGGGTGCTCGCGCACGCTTCCTGTTTTATACCCGCGCTGCGGGGTGGGGGCGCGTGACGCGTTCACGCACGCCAACGTTCATTGGCTTGTTCTTAGATACTCGAAGTTGATAGGGCTCCCTGAAGTGATCCCCTAACGTCGTCACGTCGACGTCACGTCTCCCGTTCCCTCCTTCGGGGAACGAGGGTTACATCAGTAACCGAGATGTTTTCATGAGCTGTATGCCAAAATCATCAGTATTAAACCAATAAAAGACCTGAAATATTTCAGTTGGTGTGCAATGAATCTAAAATATATGAAAGTTCAATTTTTATCATTACATTATGGAAAATAATGAACTTTATCACAATATGCTAATTTTTTTAGAAGGACCTGTATAACAAAAATCAAATAAAAAAATAAATGACTTGTCGTATGCACATAATTAAATGATTAAAAGCATTAAAAGCAATGTGCATGAACATATGATAGGTATAGAGTCCCAGACTGTGTAAACATCAAATGGAATATGATTTTCTTTTTACACGAGAGGGGAACTTGACTCCTCATTTCAGAAGACACAACAAGTCAATGGTTTTAATACTATAAGAGAACGAGAGAGTAGGAAATAAACATGGGATACTTACAGGGAATACTCTGGAGGAATTCCCTTAAAGGCAGGCAGGTCTCGGACGTACTCGTTGTGGAACCATTTTACTTTGAAGTGCAAATTCATGTATTCTGTGCTCTTGCAAAGACGATGCTTGTCATGTTCTGCAAATGAAAGGAAAAAACATGAGACATGAGTCATGCATCTGGTTTGAGACACAGTAACGTGGTAACGTATTGAGCTTTAGTGTCTGAAGACATTCCACAAACATCATCAGTATGTAACAGGGTTATTACACTATAAATAATAACCCTAACATGAACAAAATGAGCTTTACATTTGTTACATATATATGCTGTATATATATATATATATATATATATATATATATATATAATATGAAATATACAAAACATATATAAAACTATAATGTATATAATTAATACTAAAATAGCACTGTAACCAAGAGGACACCACAGGAAAGAAAAAAATCACCACTGAGATGTATTTAATATCTCAACTGTGTATACAAGACAATGAGATTAAATGGAGAGCAAATAGACTCCAAACAAACAAACGTTTCACTTGGAATAAAGTGTTGTGCACAGCTGAATTGTTCACAATAAGAACATACTGTACTGTATATTAAGCAAGTAAATGTGACAGTTTTGATTTCATGTTTACTATAATAACCCCTATCCCCTATGGGGAAAAAAACACATAATTTGAGCAATAAAACTTTCCCCTGAGAGCTTACAGAGCAAAACAGGACATAGGAAAGGTACGCCTGCTTGATTTGTCGGACAGCAACCGGAACGATCTGTACGTTTGCTGCGGTGTTTTGTAAGTGCAAACGGCCACAGCAAGTAGTGCTCATCCCAGACTTGTCAGAAAAAGAAAAAAAAACCTGCCCACCTGTGTGGACACAAGGCGGACAGACGACAGAGTCTCAGCGGCCTGGTGGGATGTTTGGCAGCGGAGCTTTGATATAGACTCTGACATGCCACATAATAAAGGTCAGAGAGGATTGTGGGTAACCTACAGCAGCTAAACAGCGAGTGGATTCAGGACGACAGTCTGGCAGCCATTAGAGGAAGCACAGTGAAGTATAGCTCAGAAATGACAGTAAGGGAGAAGGAGAGTAGTTTACTGTAACTCCTGCAGTTGTCAAGCGCAGGGAATGACATGCAACTACAGTGAGGAGAGATGTCAGCATATATCCACCGTAACCTCTCACTCCCAGTGTAAACATGAGGACATATCACCTCCGACAGACAAGGAGGACTTTAGTGACTTAATCACAGTAGTGCAGCGCAGGGCTGTAACCAAAAATTGACATTAAAGGGGGGGGGGGAGGTCAAATTGACCTCCCCAATTTTTTATATTCTTGATGCTGCTCTGCTGCACTCCATTACGAACCGCTCTGTTTGTGGTTAGGATGACAAAAAGTTTTAAAAGTTAAATACTGTTTTTACCTGTTTTAGTTAAATACCCTAACCAAACAAAAGAAAACGCCGCAAAAAATAAACTATTATGGTCCGATCTTCTGTCACGTAACACTATGTAGTAAGTCGCACAACGAGGGAGAATTCCAAAATATAGTCTTTAAATAAATCCATAGAAGGGTATCACAGGAGACACACATAAGTTACACATAGATGAGATGGGACAAAGGACTGAAAAAGGCCCTGTCCACACGGACACGGGTATTTTTATAACCGTGACTTTTTTTACGCGGTTCGGCCGTTCGTCCACATGAAAACGCACTGAAACCGAACATTTTTGAAAACCCCTGCCAGGGTGAGGATTTTCAGAAACGCCGGTTACAGTGTTGTCGTGTAGACAGTGAAACCGGGGTTTTTGCCTTGCGACGTCAGAGCGTGCGACGTTATCCGCTGTGTTTGACGTCAGATTTGCGCTTCTGATTGGCCAACGTGGCTTTACGGTTAAGGTTTATATCGCCGCCTGCTGGCGTGGCATGCTCTTGACCGCGCTTGATACGTTTTTGCGTTTTCATGTAGACGGAGACCGAGCATGTGTGGACGGGATTTTTTTTTAAAATGCTGTAGGAAAAACTCTGGTTATAAAAATACCTGTGTCCGTGTGGAGAAGGCCAAAGACAGGGAGTATATATACTAGAACTAATGAGATAAGTGATAAACAGGGCACAGGTGAATGACATTGCTAATTAGACAGACTGGGGAAAACTACAGTAGGTCACAAGGGACTGATCCAAAAACACACAAGACAGAGCATACATGTAACAATACCATAATATTGCCGCAATTGACCAATCAGAATCTTATTAAATAGACATGAGCAGTAACATGATATTCTGTCATATAACAGTAATGATTAAGGTTTCATGACATCTCACTTTAACATGCAGTACACAAGACCACCTTCTCAAATATTCACAGTACGATTTAAAATATTCAACCTATCCGACTGTGGTTGTCAACACTTAAATGTAAGTGTCAGTAAATAATTAATTAATGCATTAGATCATCTCATTCATCACTGCACTGTGAAGTTCTGATTTCAAGCCCTTCGGCTGAAGTGATACGCTCACGTTTCTGCCCTCCATCCAGTGCCAGACCTGCAATGAGGGTCACTTGAACCCAAAACCCTGATCCACCTGAGCTTTTAATAGCTTTACCAGGCAAACAATCGCCCCGCTTGCCATGGAAACAACAACCACTGTAGTCTGAAAGCAAAGATAATGATTCAAACTGCTGCTTGCATGCTGATCTTTAATTGTTGCATATGGCTTGAAAAATTTGCTGCATTTATTTCACAGCAGAACTACCATAATTACAAGATTCTACTGAAAACTTCAGACATAATTAAGCTGCTGCTATCACAATGGCCACATGAGACAAATCACATGTATTAAAGTCAAAATTAAACTAGTTAATTTACTTTCCCTAATAAAAGTTTCTGGTTATTTTAAATAAAATTAAATTCAAAGAAACGACCACATTAAATCCTGATAGATAAAATCCATTCCTGTCAGAGTTGTTATCGTTAAATACAGCTAAAACTTAAACTATTCAAAACATTAAATTATAAATATTAGATAAAAAACTTATTAAAAAACTAAATGAAAATGAGAAATGTCCCCTAACTAACTGATTTAAGTTTAAGTACTAAAATTACTGGAAACTGGAAATGAATAAAAAGCTTAAACTGAAATAAAAATAAACCAAATAAATCTTTTGTAAAAAATTCAAAAAAAAATTTTACAGTGTACGTAACACTAAAATAACACTGATACTCTCTCTGCACATTATTTCCACCTGAATATTCTCCTTCACTGTGAAACACATCAAATTATGGAAGATAAATGCGATGAATGCATCTACAAAGTCCCGGCTGACATTATTTCCTGCTGAATATTTCATTCTGAAACTTATGGAAGTCATTGTGGAATGTTGTCATTAACATGTTCTGGAAATGCAGAGCTAAACTCCAAGACTTATGATAGAAGGAGTCTCGGTTGGTTTAGGCAGCTCTGCATTTCCATAATGCTTCATATGTTTTCCAAAACCCCATAATGAACGACATTAATAACACCTGCTTATGAAGCATGTCTGCATGAATTATTAAAATGAATGACTAACTCTTTTGGCAGCTCATTGTTTCTTGCAACCTCTGAGAAGTTGAATTCCTGAATTGTGCCGCTGTTTGCCATACCGTGGAATTGCTCGTTTATCTTGAAGAAACCGTTATTTTTCTCAGGGAACAGTCACCTCGAGGCTAATGTAAGGGATATCAGATAGCGTCACACTGAGTGACTTGCTCTTCAAGGAAAAAATATAACATCCCTCACTTTAACATAAAAGCATTCATAATCCATAGTTCTGGAGTTTTCCACCACAAAGAGCGTCCTGATAAACACCTGGCGCTGCAGCCGTGTGTCACATGCTCTTCTGAATGTTGCATGAAGAATGAAGCTGTAAAAGAGAGTTAGCTGAAACGGAGAATCAGCTATTGGGTAAATCTCACTAAGGCTGCATTTACACTGCAAGTCTTAACCCTCTGGGGTCTGAGGTGTTTTCGGGGTCCTTGAGATGTTTTGGCATGCTCTGACATTTGTGCTTTTTTCAGTTGCTTATAAACATATTAATGGCACAGGTGAAATTACACTCTATATAGCACACACAGGGCTACCATAATATGTGAGCAACATGTATGTACATGTTTGTATTTTTGAGAGAATATTGTTTATGCGTGGTTATTGAAAAAACTAAAAAATAAAGTTTCTAATATAAGGCCACAAATAACATACTAAATATCTGTCCACAAGACTTTTGACTAGTGGATGTTGTCGCCTAGAGTATTTGCTTCAAATTGATCTGAAAATCATTCTGCCTAATCATTCACATAAAACAATAGATTGTTTTAAATTGTGAAAAACATTTTTTTGTTTGCAAAGGCAATATGCGGATGGGCGGATCGGCCCATCCCCCTCATGAATAATTAGGCAGTTCTCACCTGAGCAGACTGCATACTAATGAGCCTTTCATTCAGGGGTGTCACACAAGAAAGAATGCAAGGACAATATATATATAAATAAATAAATATTTATACACACACACACACACACACATATATATATATATATATATATATATATATATGTGTGTGTGTGTGTGTGTGTGTGTGTATATAAATATTTATTTATTTATTTATATATATATTGTCCTTGCATTATTTCTATAATAATAAATAAATATTTATATACACACACACACACACACACACACATATATATATATATATATATATATATATATATGTGTGTGTGTGTGTGTGTGTGTGTGTGTGTATATAAATATTTATTTATTTATATATATATTGTCCTTGCATTCTTTCTTGTGTGACACCCCTGAATGAAAGGCTCATTAGTATATATATATACATATATATATATATATACAAACAATCAAAATATAAATGAAAGCCAAAAGCACATTTTTAGTCACACCTTTTAGCCATCCACATACCATTTTTAGCCATCCACCGCGGTAAAAATAAACCAGTCACATTTCAAAGTCGTACGCGAAATGACCGCCAGGTGGCGCAAAGGGACATTTAGCAAAACGTAAGTGGGCAAATATCTATTAACAGTAGCCTAAGGATGAAATACTACAAGTTATGG